TCAGAGCTGTGGAGGAAGATCTGTTGTTGTCAGCATGAAGGACAAGCAGCAGATCCCAGAGCTGCTGGATCAAGTGGACAAGATGAGACGGTCAGAACCTCACAGCTACACCAGAGAAACATTCGCTCGAGCTCAAATGGAAAAGATCATAGAACAAGAGGCTGAAATCAAGAAACTGAAAAGGTCTGATGTGATCACTGGTAAGTGTTTCACTGCTGCAACTTTCTGTTTTAGCAGATTTTCCTAAACACTGTTGTGCACAAGTTAATAATTCAAACACAGTCTTTTTATGGCAAAGATTTAAACATATAAGAACAAGTGAAGACAGGTTTCTACAAAGTAATGTCAAGTAGTGAAAAAAAAACATAAAATGTAAAATAAGTGATGGCACAAATATTCACAACTTTTAAAGTGACTCATCTAATTCAACTCAGCTGCAGCTAGTTGATGCTAGAAGTCACACAGTTAGTAAAATGGATGATGTGAAGTCAGTGAATGTGTCTCAGTGATTGTAGTGTAAAGACTGGATATGGAAGGTCCAGTCACTGGTGGATCAGAACTCCTGGATAGAACGACACCATGAAGCCTGAAGAACACTCCAAGAACTCTGTGGAAAGGTTGTTGAGAAGCATCAGTCAGGGGACGATACAAGAACATTTACATCATCCAGTCCAGTTAAATCCATAGGAGACATTTGTAAATCTGTATAGATCAGGACATCCTCAAGAACTGACTGTCTGAGCGAGAAAGGGGCGAGTGAGGGAGGTCACCAAGACACCGATGACTCCTCTGAAGGAGTTACAAGCTTCAGACTGTTCATACAACAACTGCTGTCTGTTCTTCAGCAGTCGAAGCTTTATGGGAGACAAAGAGAAAGACTCTGTTGAATAAAGTTCATATTAAGGCTGAGTGCTGCAGCCAACAGTCCATCTACTAAACATTTACTAGAAAGGGCTTATATTCTTTGCAGTCACTTATTTTACATTGAGTATTTTTAAATAGCTGACATTAGTTTGTAGAAATCTGTTGTTCAGTATGACACGACAGAGTCTCTTGTTGTAAATTCTTGTCAAAAAAGCCAAGTTAAATTGACCATAATTCAATGTTGAAAAGCAATAAAAGGAGAACATTTTCAAGAGTATATATTATATAATCATTGTCATTCTTGCTGTTTTCTGTTGCAGGTGATGACAAGCAGCAGAGCTCAGAGGTTCTCAGGATTGTGCTGATTGGGAAGACTGGCAGTGGAAAGAGCTCTTCAGGAAACACCATCCTGGGGACAAAACCGTTTAAAGCCAAATCAAGTCAAAAATCAATCACCAAACGTTGTCAGAAAGAAGTGGGTCAAGTGGACGGACGTCCTGTTGTCGTGGTCGACACTCCTGGACTGTTTGACACAAATATGTCTCAAGAAGACGTCCATGAAGAGATGGTGAAATGCATCAGTCTTCTGTCTCCAGGACCACATGTCTTCCTGCTGGTGATACAGATCGGCAGATTCACACCAGAGGAAAAGGAGACAATCAGCTTAATCAAGAAAGGTTTTGGAAAGAATTCTGAAAAGTTCACCATCATTCTTTTAACTGGAGGAGATAGACTGGTGAAGGATGAGCAGTCTGTTGAAGATTACATTGAAGAAGAATGTGATGATTCATTCAAGAAGCTAATTGATGAGTGTGGAGGAAGATTCCACGTGTTTGATAATGAAGATAAAGACAATCGCACACAAGTCAGTGAGCTGATAACAAAGATCGACGCCATGTTGAAGGAAAATGGAGGAAAATGCTTCACCAACAAGATGCTGCAAGAGGCTGAAGCAGCGATACAGAAAGAAATGAAGAGAATTTTGAAGGCGAAGGAAGAAGAGAAGAGAAGAGAGATGGAGGAGCTGGAGAGAAAACATGAAGAAGAAATGAACGAGATTCAAAGAAGAATGGAAAAAGAGAAAGAAGAAATTCAGCAGGAAAGAGACCTGAGGCTCAAAGAAATGGAGAAAAAGATCAACAAGGAGCGTGAGCAGAGAAAGAAGGAACAGGAAAATAGAGAGAAAGAAGAAAGGAAAAGAGAAACTGACGAAGAAAGGTATCGACAGAA